CCATCTGGGGACCTTGTAAGTGTAGATTCTGATTCAGTAGGTCTGTGGTAGGGGGGGATCTGCACTTCCAACAAGCTTCCAGATGCTGCTGCCACCACTGCTGCTGCTGTTGCTGCTGCTCTGTTAACCATACTTTGAGCCATACAAGTAACCATATTTCCCTTGAAAGAGTCTCTTAAAAGTCTCTCTCTGCTACTTTTAATCCCTCCTTCCTCTAATCCATTTGCTACACTGCAGGCAGAGTGATCCTTATAATGTGTAAATCTGATCATCTCAATCCCTTGCTTAATATCCTTCAATAATTTCTGACTGATTTCAGAATGAAGTCAGGGGTCATTACAGATCCTCCTTACCTCTTCACCTTTATCTCCTAACACTCATTGCTCCCACCCCCGCAACTTGCTCATGTTTCACCATGTGTGTATGGCTGGAAGGGCCTTTGTAACAAGTTTTTCTGCTCTGCTTGGTATCCTCTTCTTCCATTCCCTTTGCTCTGGTAATTCTTCCTTAGGTCTCAGCTTAAATTTCATTTTCCCTGAGAAGCTGTCTCTGACTCCCCAAGACTAAATTGTTTTTTTTTTTTTCCTCCTATAGCATTCTCTGGTACCTAACTACATTACATTGTTATTGCCTGCTTACTTGGCTTTTTTACCAGACTGATGGTAGACTTCTTAAAGTCAGGAACTATCTTTTTAATTGTTGGCAAATAGTAGATGCTCAATAGATTTTTCTGAAAGGCTGAACAAGAGATGAGGGCAGTATGCTTTGTGGAGAAGTAAGTTCTTCCCTGATTAAAATGGCCTCATACGCCTAGTGGCTTCCAATTTGAGGGTTTCAGAAAGATCTACAAATGAAGAAATTGAGGTGTGAGAGGTGTTTTGGATTTTGTTTTTCACTAGGGAAAGATATTTCCTAAGATCTTACTTTATCCCCAATTTCTTGAATATTACATATGAATATCATGAAATATGAATATAAATTTATTGAAATGGCATATGATATTTTCAAAATGTATGTCATAAAACACTAGTTACTACTGCTAGATACTTGGGGAAATAAAAGCTTACATGATCAGATAATTTAAGAAACACAGCACAATCTTTGCATAATACAGGTTCTGCAAAATCCTCAGTAAAGAAACCTATTTAAACTTGTTTAACTTAGTATTTTTCTAGCTTATTTGACTATAGAACTCCATTTTAATTTCCTTTTGGTGAATGCGGTGATGTAAAAGACATTGAATTGCCATTATTAGACAAGTCTAACTATGGAATAAAAGTCATTTATACATGTTCTGGCTTAAACATTCACTGAAACATTTTCATGACTTGCTGCTCCTTTTTTTTTCCCATTTACAACCTATTACAGACTAATATGCATCAGAGATATGAGCCATCACCAAAGCCAGTATTTCTGTATTTAATTGATCAAAAACTAATATTTTCTAGGCCTGGTGTGGTGGCATAGCAGTTAAGTTCAGGTGCTCTGCTTCGGTGGCCCAGGGTTTGCCGATTTGGATCCCGGGCGTGGACCTACGCACCACTTATCAAGCCATGCTGTGGCAGGTGTCCCACATATAAAGTAGAGCACAGATGTTAGCTGAAGGCCAATCTTCCTAAAAAAAACCCCACCAAACTAATATTCCTAACCAAGAACCAGAGTTTTCTTAGATCTCACTAGTGCTAGCAAATGGCTTTCTCTTCTCGAAGAAACAAAGTTTCCTTTTACTATGTGAGTTTTCTGGGGTTTTGTTTATCTTTTTTTTTTTTTGCAAGGATGCACTGAGAACAATAAAGCTGCATTGTATAAAGTAGTCAAAGTTATGGCCTCTAGAGCCAAGTAGGTGGGATTCCAAACCTGGATCTACCATTTACTTACTGGTGTGACCTTATGAAGTTACTTTGCCTCTCTGTGTCTTAGTTTCCTCATCTGTAAAATGAAGTAATGACAGTATCTACCTCAGAGGTTTTTATAAGGTACAAATGAGTTAATTTACACAAAACTTGTAGACTAGTGCCTGATACATCTTAGGTGCTCACTAAGTATTAGAAATCAAATTATTAAAATCTATCAGGTGGGATATCAGCCAAGGTCACTCATTGTCGATGTAACCTACCATCACATACCAGCTTCACAGTGCAATTCAAGTTGTCATATACCTTTGAGGCTTCTTTTGAATGATGAAATGACTGATAACTATTTGAATACTAGGTATGTATTATCTTTTTAAAGGAAAACTGCATAAATAATAGGGCTGCATAAGATAACTAAAACATGTTTCTTGTTGGGAATTTTATTTTTTTAAGGTGGTTTACCTACTTAGGGTTTGAGAAAAGTGGAAAAGATACTGGTAGATAAAAATCCTTCAAAACTTGGGGTCACTAAGGAGAAAAATAAAAGGATCTCAATAGGCCTATATCTATTGAAGAAATTGCATCAATAATTAATAACCTTCCAAAACAGAAAGTACCTGGGCTAGATGGATTCACTGGTGAATTCTACCAAATATTTAAGGAAGAAATTATATCAGGGCTGGCCTCGTGGATGAGTGATTAAGTTTGCATGTTCCACTCCAGTGGTCCAGGGTTTTCTGGTTTGGATCCTGGGTGCAGACATGGCCCTGCTCATCAGGCCATGCGGAGGTGGCATCCCACATAGCACAACTGGAAGGACCTACAACTAGAATATACAACTATGTACTGAGGGGCTTTGGGGAGAAGAGGAAGAAGAAAAAAGAAGATTGGCAACAGATGTTTGCCCAGGTGCCAGTCTTAAGAAAAAGAAAAAAATTATATCAGTTATCTACAATTTCTTCCAGGGGATAAAAGCAGAGAGAATACTTCCTAACTAATTCTGAGCCAACATCACCTAATACCAAAACCAAACAAAGACATTATAAGAAAGGAAATTATAGAGCAATATCTTTCATGAACATACATGCAAAAATCCTCAACAGAATATTAGCAAATTGAATTCAACAAAGTACAAAAAGACTTATACACCATGACCAAGTAGAATTTACCCCAGGTATGTAAGGCTGGTTCAACATTCAAAAATCAATTAATGCAATCCATCACATTAATAGGCTAATGCAGAAAAATCACATGATCATATCATTAAATGCAGAAGAAACATTTGACAAAATCCAACACCCGTTCATGATAAAAATTCTCAGCTGGGGCTGACCCAGTGGCATAGTGGTCAAGTTTGCGTGCTCCACTTTGGCGGCCCAGAATTCATGGGCTTGGATCACTGGCATGGACCTATGCACTGCTCATCGAGCCATGCTGTGGTGGCGTCCAACATACAGAAAAAAAAATAGAGGAAGACTGCCACAGATGTTAGCTCAGTGACAGTCTTCCTCTAGCAAAAAGAGGAAGATTGGCAACAGATGTTAGTTCAGGGTCAATCTTCCTCACAAAACAAAAGAAAAATTCTCAGCAAACTAGAAATAGAGGGGAACATCCTTAACTTGATAAAGGGCATTTATAAAAACCTACACTAACATCATACTTACTGGTGGGAAACTAGAAGCTTTCCAAGGATGTCCCCTCTCACCACTCCGTTTCACCTTCATACTAGAAGTCCTAGTTAATGCAATAAGACAAGAAAAGGAAATAAAAGGTATACTGATTGAGAAGGAAGAAATGCAACTCTTTGTTTGCAGATGACATGATCAGCTTTGTGGAAAATCCAGAAGAATTGACAAAAAACCTGGAACTAGTAAGTGATTATATCAAGGTTGCAGAATACATGGTTAATATACAAAAGTTAATTTTTTTCCTATATTCTTAGTGATGAGCAAGTGGAATTTGAAATTAAAAGCACAATACCATTTACATTAGCATCCCCCAAAATGAAATACTTAGGTATATATTTAACAAAATATGTACCATATCTACATGAGGAAAACTACAAAACTCTGATGAAAGAAATCAAAAAAGAACTAAATAAATGGAGAGGTAGTCCATATTTATGGATAGGAAGGTGTAATGTTGTCAAGATGTCAGTTCTTCCCAACTTGATATATAGGTTTAATGCAATCTCAATTAAAATCCCGGTGAGTTATTTTGTGAATATCAACAAACTGATTCTAAACTTTATTTGGAGAGGCAAAAGTCAATAACCAATTCAATGTTGAAGGAGAACAACAAAGTTTGAAGACTGACACTACCTAACTTCAAGACTTACTATAAGGCTACAATAATCCAGACAGTATGTTATTGGTGAAAGAATAGACAAATAGATCAATGGAACAGAATGGAGAGCCCAGAAATAAACCCACATAAATATAGTCAACTGGTCTTTGACAAAGGAGCAAAGGCAATACAATGAAGCAAAGATAGTCCCTTTAACAAATGGTGCTGGAACAACTGGACATCCACGTGCAAAAAAAATCAATCTAGACACAGACCTTATGCCCTTTACAAAAATCAACCAAAATGGATCATAGACCTAAATATAAAATGAAACACTATAAAACTCCTAGAAGATAACATAGGAGAAAATCTAAATGACCTTGGGCCTGGCAGTGACTTTTTAGATACAACACCGAAGGCGTGATCCGTGAAGGAAAGAATTGATAAGCTGTCAGCAGCTATGGAGTAGGGTTCTGCTTCCCTGTTCCAAATAGGTTCTTTTCTCTGAGTAGATATTTATAGAACCTTAAGCTGTTCTTTACCCACAGGTCAAGTGAGTGTTCCAAAGTCATATGGAGTCCATAGTGGGGAGCAGGCATTTGGCCTTTGGTCTAGTTAACTCTCTCCCTGCCTTGAACAAGAGCAGAGCAGGACTTCACTGCATAAGCCATCAGATGACAGAGTATCTCAGGAGGGACTCTCCACGTTTCTTTTTTTTTTGGACAAGCCACCTTTCAATCCACAGAATAAAGAAGTTTTAGCTCTTAGTTTTTTGTGTGTCTCATAAATTGTCTTGTGTGATATACTCACTGGATGTATACATGTGTTCCTTCTGCTTTTTCCCCTCGTTTGTCTCTGCAGGGCAAGAGGTTCTGTAAAGCAGAGGGAAGAAGGAGTCCACTGAGAGTTCCCAGCTGCAGCTGTTTTCTCCTAAAATACTTCAAATTAGTGTGCTGTTATGAGGATTAATTTTCATTCCAGGACTACACGGTGTAATCTACATTAGAAATGTCTAATCTTCCTATTGACATTTGCCCGTTTCTTTTTCTTGTTTTCATTTCAAAGGACCCTCACATTAACGGCAGATGGCTCTGCATAAGCCATCTAAAAAAGCTAGGATTTAAATGTGTCTCTTTAATCTTCAAGTGTGTTTCCTGATAGTGGGGTGGGAGGATGGATAGCCTCATTTTATACCTCCACAGTAGCCTGACGTTGTTTTATAAACTTATAAGTAGACAAGACCACAAATATTTACTTGGGCAAACTTAAGGAGAAGGGAGTTATTGGAAGACTATTAGGAAGCTCACAGATTAACGGAATCCATGAGAATCAGACTTGGAAATGGGCAGGAACGGAGGGGGCTGTGAAGGGCCAGGCATTAGGAACCCTGGCAATTGTCATAAAGCAGGATAGTGAGGAGAGCACGCCATTCCTGCAGTGTATGTCTTCCAGACTTTCCTATTGTTTCTATGTCACTGGCTCAACAGTCTGAGCCCCAGAAAGAGCATCTGATAACTGAGCTTGGGTCACATGCTGGTCCCAGGTCCTGCTGAGTCAAGGAGGGCAAGGGTCTGTTTCCTTCAGCTTCAGTAATAGATCATGGTCACCAGGAATTACTGCCCCGCCACGTGACACACAGTCTGGATGTGTGAATTCCAAAAAAGAAATCTGGATGTTCTCAGGGCAGCCAAAAAAAGCAAATGTCAACCAGCACTGTTTTTTCAATGGACCAGTGGAAATGTAGGAGAAAGGAATTGAGAAGTAAGGATGGGAGGCAATGGGGAGGAGGGTGAAAAATAAATGGGAGTTGGTAAAAGGGCAGGAAACATTCACTCAAGAAAAATTATGTTTTTGCAATATGTACATCTACATACAAGTCATCATGGCTTTCTTGTCTAACATGATCTTTAAAGCTCTGAAAGCTCAGAGCATAGGAAGTACATCTTGGTAACTTAGAAGTATAGTGACCCTCTTTCACCACCAGATGGTGCTTTAGGTATGGATAGTGTGATGCCGATCCTGGGGAAGTTCTCAAACACCTGCTCTTTCCCAAGGTGCTTCTGGGTAACAATCATTCAGGAGATATTGAGCTCCTATTGGAGATGAGAAATGTAAGCTCCGATGAGGGACATCTAACCTAGCTATACAGATAGGGAGGGCGAAGTTTCCTAATAATAGCTAAACCTTGGTGACAAGGACGTGATAGAAATTGTGAAGAGAATTCCAACTTAAGAAAGATCCACCAAAGAGGCGGAGAGGCTTGAGAAAATCACCCCTTCTAGGAATTGCAGGGGGTGGAATGGAGAGAGGGAGAGTATTTCAGGTGGAGGAAACAGGATGAACGTGGGTGTGAAATGTGTATTCATAGATTCAGATTCAACTATGGCTATTTAATTGTTTAGCTTGTTATCTGGCTCATCTGAATTCTGCATCCTATGACCTAAGCTTGGAAAAGAGAGCCATCTGTTTGGAATAGCTACTCTGATTCTAGCCCTAGGAATTCCCACTGCTTTGCTTAGCCAATTCTTGTTCTCCAGCTTCCCCATTTTCTTGTCCTTTCTTTTTCTGTGCTAAAGCTGTATTGGAACAGACTTGTTGCACAACAGGTGTTACATTCAAATACACTGAACTCCAAATGTTTATGGAACATTTACACTGTATATATAGAAGAATAAGAAAAAGCCCCTACCCTATAGGACTAATGTATTCATTCTGTGTGTCTCTTATTCCATGATTTAAGCAATTATTATTTATTGTGTCCTTATGATGTGTCCGATGCTGTTAGCACTTTATGTATGTTATTTCGTTCAAGCCTTAGTACAACCTAGAGTTACTATGATCCACATTTTGCTGATGATGAACTTGAGACCCAGAGAAATTACGTAGCTTGCCCAAGCTTTCTAGAATAGAAAATTAAAGGCCCAGTGCTTAGTTTTCCACTAAATATTCCCATGGCTGGCTTCTTTACATCATCCAGGTCTCTGCTCAAATGTAATCGCAGAGAAGCCTCTCTCTCCAGTAGCCTCCTCACTTTGTGTCCAGTTGCTCTACCTTGTTTTTCTTTGTAGTACTTACTATTACACTGTTTATATTTCATTGTTTGTATCTCCCACTAGTTTATGATCTCTGTGAGGGCTGGCTCTTGGCTGTGTTGTTTACTGTTTGTTATTCCACTGCCCAGAACACAGTCTGGCATATAATAAGGAGCTCAACAAGTTTTTGTTGAAGGGTTGACTTTTAAACCCAAACTCTTAGCCACTATGCTATATTGTGCTCTTAGAGAGGATTAAGAAGGTTTAATTTTTAAGTGTCCTGATACCAAAGAGTATGCTGCACAAAGCCCGTGCATACAATGTGCCAAATAATATGTGCACTACTGGCCCATACTTTTTAAAAATTAGAGTTTAATTTGCATATATTAAAATAAATCTTAAGCATGGATGTATTTTTACAGATGTATATACTTGTGTAACCACCACCCAGATCAAGATACAAAACATTTTTAGCCTCCAGGGGAACTGTGTTACCTCCTGGTTGGTACCCCATCTCCCAGAGGTAAGTTTTCTGACTTCTATCACATAAATTAGTTTGCTGGTTCTTCAGCTTCATATAGGTATAATCTATAGTTTGTATTCTTGCATTTCTCTTCTTTTGCTCATCATAGTATTTTGGAGATTTATCTATGTTGTGTATATCAGTATTCTTTTTTTTTATTGTTGTATCATGTTCCATTGTATGAATATACCACAGTTTGTTTATCCATTCACCTGTTAATGGATGTTTAGGTTGTTGCTAATTTCTAGCTGTTAGAAGTAAAGCTGCTATAAACATGCTTGTTCAAGTTTTTACAGACGTATGCACTTGATATGCTATTTTGGAGAGGGCATACTTAGGAGTGGAATGGCTGCATCATAAGGCAGATGTATGTTTAGATTCCTTTTTTGAGAAGTGCCTGTTCAAGTATTTCACCCATTTTGGAAAATTTCATATTGATCTGTAGAGTTCTTTATGTATTATGGATACAGTCCTTTATCAGATATATGTATTGCAAATATATTCAATTTCCTGCTGACGTGTTTTGATAAGAAAATTTTTGAATTTTAATGAAGTCAAATTTATCAATTTTGTCTTTTAAGGTACTTCTTTTTCTGTCATGTTTAAGCAATCTTTGCCTACCCCAAAGCTGTGAAGTTACTCTCCAATGTTTTTTTCTAGAGCTTTATTTTTTAGCTGTCACATTTAGGTCTATGATCCACCTTGAATTAATTTTTGGGTTTGGTGTGAGGTAGGGTTTATAGTTTTATCCATATAAATATGCAATTTTTGAAGCACCATTTAAAAAGACTGCCATTTTCCTGCTGAATTGTAGTGACGCTTTTGTCATAAACCAAGTGATTCTACATGTAGAGGTGGACTCTGTTTTGTTACATTGGTTTATTTATCTATCCTTGTACCAATACCCCACTGTCTTAAAGACTGTAAATTTATAGTAAGTCTTGAACTCTGGTAGTATAAATCTTCTGATTTTATTCTTCTTTAAGATTGTCATGGCTATTTTAAGGTCTTTGCATTTCCATATAAATTTAAAATTCAGCCTGTCAATAACCACCAAAGATTCCTGCTAGGCTTTTGATTGGGTTTGTATTGAACCTCTACATCAGATTAGGGGAAATTGACATCTTATCAATATTCAGTCTTTGATTCATAAACATGATATAGCTCTCCATTTATTTAGGTCATCTTTAATTTTTCTGTACAGTACAAACTTGCAGTATTTTATAGCTTTCAACATTAGCCCTATGGAACTTTTCTTAAATTTGTTTCTAAATATTTGATTTTCTGATTCTACTATAACATATTTTTTAAAATTTCATTTTCTGATCATTTCTTGATCATATGTAGAAATATGATTGCTTTTTATATTTTGACCTTATATCTAGAGAGCTTGTTGCTAAATTCACTTATTGATTCTACTAGTTGATGTATTTTTAGATTTCCTGTTTACAATCATGTAATATATAAATGAAAATCATTTTACTTTTTGTTTCCAATCTTATACTTTTTATTTCTCTTTCTAGTCTATAGCACTGTCTAGGGCTCCCGGCACAATGGTGAACAAAGGCTGTGGTAGTGGGCATCCTCATCTTGTTTTTGACCTTGTGGGGAAAGCTTTGACTATTTCACCATTGAGAATGAAGCAGCTGTAGGGTTTTATTACTAGATAGTATTTTAAAAATCGAGGATGTTTCCTTTCATTTCTACTTTGTTGAGGATTGTTTTTCCTAAAATTGTGAACTCCTCTTTACTTTTATCAAATGTGCTTTCTTCACCCATTGAGATAATTGTGCCTCCTCCACGCCCATTTCCTTATTCTATTAACGTTGTGAATTACACTGATGAAATTTTTAAATGTTAAACTATCCTTTTATTTCTGGAATAAATCCCTCTTACTTATGACATATTTCATATCTTTTTTATATCCCTGAATCCTACTTATTGATATTTTGTTAGGATTTTTACATTTATATTCAAGGGAGATACTGGCCTATAATTTTTCTTTTTTGTCCCTATAATTTTTCTTTTTTGTAATGTCTTTTTTAGGTTTTGGTATCAATGTTTTGCTGGTCTTAAAAACTGAGATCAGAAGTCTTCTCTCTTTTTTAATTCTCTGGAAGAGTTTATGTAAATTTGGTATTATTTGTTCCTTAAATATTTGAAATAATTCACCATTGAAGCCATATGGGTCTGGTATTTTCTTTGTGCGAAAGTTTAAAAAAAAAAAACATGGAAATAATTTGTTTTGTTTGTGTCAGCACATTAGATTTTAGTCATTTTTTATGGATAATTTCCGTGCTCAAGATAAAAGTTATTATTATATCTTAAGTGATGAATTAAAAGTTTATATAAAAAAGAATAAGCTATAGATATGTCTTTACATTAAGAAAATCTAAAACTGATATTCCTCAACTTAGTTTTTGCTTCATGTATTTTGAAGCTCTGTTATTAAGAGCATAAATGTAATAGGATG